ATGTGTATTTATTTTATGCTACAGATTGTAATCTAATTACTGTTGTTATTTTTGTTGTTCAAATTATTTAAACTTTGGCCATTGGGAGCTCTTTTAGACTGGTTGTTATGCTCTTTCAACAAGCCCACATCCTGTTTTGAATACTTATGTTTTGGCTCAGTAAGTTACTCCAGCTTTAAATTTTCTCTGTCTTATCTCTGGAATCAACCACTTCTTTGAGAGACATTCTAAAATTAACATCCTTTTGAAACTTTTGGTAAACATAAGAAAAATGACCTCAATCAATGCTACATGACTGAACTTTTTATATATATATATATTATATAACTTATCTTTCTGGGCTACACTTACAGTAACTTACTGTCAATTAGATTAATAATTTCCATCTATACCTATATCTATACATCTATATCCATATCTATATCATCTATATCCCAGAGCCAGGAACTCCATCCAGGTCCTGCATGTGGATGACAGCCACATAAGCCCATTATTTCCCAGCATCTACACTGGCAGAAAACTGGAACTGGATGCTGGAATCAGGTCATAAACCCAGGCACTCCCATATGGAACACAGGCTTCCCAATCACTAGGCTAAATGATTACCTCAGTAATTTTTATTTCTGGAGATTTCATTTGGTTCTTTTTCAGGGTTTCCTCTTCTTTTCCATCATGATATATTCTGCCACTGAGTAAGAAATAACTTATTTTTGCTGACTTTTACTCATGTCAACTATATACTTTTACTCATGTCAACTATATAATTTATGGTTTGCAGTTTTTTAAAAATAATTTTTGGAAGAGTTTATTTTCTTTGTGAATTATTTGGGGTATGTGTTAAGGTAGTATCCTTCCAGAATAGCCCAGGTGCCCCAAGCTCACTACTACCATTTTTAAGGTAAATTTCTCAGTTCTGTGTTTTTGAGTCCAACCATTTAGCTAAGGGTATAGCTTTTCAAGTGTGCTGTTTTTTTTTTTTTTTAAGATTTTATTTATTTATTTGAGAGGTAGAGTTAACAGACAGTGAGAGGGAGAGACAGAGAGAAAGGTCTTCCTTCCGTTGGTTCACTCCTCAAATGGCCGCAACGGCTGGAGCTGCACCGATCTGAAGCCAGGAGCCAGGTGCTTCCTCTCAGTCTCCCATATGGGTGCAGGTGCCCAAGCACTTGGGAAGTGTGCTGGTTTTTAATGTAGGTTAGGGCTATGTTCTAACTCCCAGCCTTATATAGGCTGCTGTCCATATGTATCTCCTATTTCTGTGTGGGCAGGAAAGGAGCTATTAAGTCACAGAAACCGACAGCTTCCTCAATGGAAGTATTTCCCTTTTGTTTTTGGCACCCAAAAATACCGACAATGCCTTCTTTTTTTCTTTTGAGTTCAAGTGTATATGTAGAATTTTCTACTTTTTATATCATTTCAAGTGTGATCTATCATATTGGTAGAACCAGAGTCGATCTGTTGTTTGAAAGCATGTTAGTCAACAGGTAATAAACAGTGGGGGTAGAACAAATCAGTAAAAGTGAGACTAGAATATTACAGCTGAGTCCACAGGTCAAAAGGCCACTGGGTCAGATCTATAAGTTCAAGGAGGCTGACATAGGGGTTGGTAATGGGTATAATCTAAAGTGCCTTAAGGCCAGATCTCTAAGATCTAGTCAAGAATAGCCCAGGGTTGTAGAGGTCAGAGTCAGAGCATCCTTTTTTTTAATTAAAGATTTTCCTGCTCCTATAGACAAACTTGGGTTTACAAATATTCCCTGCATGCCTTACGGCTAGGATTCTGGGCTATTTTCTCACAATTCAAACGCAGAATATCATTTCGGGAGTCAGTTTTCAAATTTTTTAGGACGAAGTCCTAAAAAGTTTATTTTTCATTTTACTAAACCCTTGAAAATATTTGGAGGATGTAGCCTCACTCCCCACTCATGGAAAGGGCAGCGGTCCTTTTGTATTTCTGTAATTGGTAGCCACAGATTGTTTTTGTCAATCCATAAAGTGTGGCGGTGGGAAGCATACTACCTCATACTACCTCATGATAACTCATGGAGTAGTGATTTATAGAAATATTTGAATGACAATGCTATTCTACACTAATCTCACATCTGAGTTGTAGTCTTTTTTTCTTGCCTGCTGGTATTTCTCACTGCCATCTTTCCATCAATTCAAATGAAGCATATTTTAAACTGAACTCATGTATCCGCCTGCAAAGGTGCTCCTCCTTCCAGTTTGCTTTCTTTTTATATGTTCCCATTGGTTCCTATTGTTCCCTCCCTCACCCTCTTACCCCTCCCCACCCCAGCCTCACCCAGGCTGAAGGCTCTTCTCACTTTCCCAACATTTCCCAGGTTCTTTTAGGCTTCTAGTCTTTGTTTCATCCCTCAGTGTTTCCCTTTCATCAGAACTTGATAAATACTGGTAATCTGTTACATACTTATTACAGTGCTTGCAGATTGGGGAATGAGAATAGTAAGACATGGTCATTGTCTTTTAGCAGAAGAGACACTTTTCATACATTAAAATAGTGAACAATACCAGACAGCATATAATCAAATGCTAAATTGGGTGGCACAGAGTTCTAAGTATTAGAAGGTGGAGGAAAGATAGGGATAAAATGAGAACTTGAATTTTAAGAGAAACTTTAATTTAGGAAGTGGGATTTAAGTGAGATTTTAGGGGCCAGTGCTGTGGCATAGAGAGTAAACTGCTGTCTGCAGTGCCAGCATCCCATATGGGCACTGATTTGAGACGTGGATGCGCCACTTCTGATCCAGCTCTCTGCTCTGGCCTCAGAAAGCAGCCGAAGATGGCCCAAGTCCTTGCGCCCCTGTACCCACATGGGAAACCCAGAGGAAGCTCCTGGCTCCCGGCTCCTGGCTTCAGACTGGCCCAGCTTTAGTCATTGAAGCCATTTAGGGAGTGAACTTTCTCTCTTTCTCTCTCTCTCTCTCTCTCTGCTTCTCCCTTTCTCTGTAACTCTGCCTTTCACATAAAAATAAATAAGTTTTTTTAAAATTAAATAAAACCTAGGTTTTAAACCATCATAGATTAGAATTGGATAGACATTTAAAGTGAGGAGAAAACATGAACAATTAGTGAGTTTGTTGAGTGTAACATTTTGGATACCTTTGGAGATGTTTATGTGTTGGTGATTGCTTTCCTTTGCTCTCAGGTCACCAACTGAATCTTTTTTTTTTTACAGGCAGAGTTAGACAGTGAGAGAGAGAGAGAGACAGAGAGAAAGGTCTTCCTTTTCTGTTGGTTCACCCCCCGAATAGATCTTTAATAGTAGTTTTTAAAATTTAGTGTGTTCCTCAACTCAGAATCCTTTCAGAGGTTTCTTTTCTTTTTGATTTTGATCTGAACAGCCTTGGTATTACAGGTACTCCGTGATCCACCAGTCTTTTCCCCACCATGCTTTTTGTGCCCGCAATATGCTGTTTTGTGTTTGACTTGTGTTTTCCTTTTGCTTGTGGTATGTCTGCATGATTTCTGTCCATTCCTACTTCAAGTGCCCTCTCAAGACTCATGTGAATTTCTTAATGCCCATCTGATGATTTCTTTCTTCTGTGGTTTCTCTTGAAACTATTTTCATTTCACAATAGTGCAGAATCAAATCATGCACCTTGTCTTACAATAATTTAGAATCCCATATATTTCTCTTATCAATAATTGATAAGCTTTTGGTAAGCTTAGATTATGTTTCATATTTTATTGTTCTTTTTAGTACTATGTGTTACTCTGGTCATGGACTTGGGGTAGCCTTTAAGGAATTGATTTGTTTTTTGTTTCAGATATTGATAATTTATAATATTGAATTTACATCATCATGTAAATGTGCCTATTATTATGGCTGACCTGTAGTAATGCCCTTGGTAAATGTTAGTTGAATCCAGATCTGTGTAGTGGATTCCAAATACCAAATACCATGTATTCTTCTGCAGTTTCATAGAAGGTAGAAATAAAAGCAAAGTCCTAAGCCAAGTTTTCTGAGATATGATTTTTCTACTGGCTTTTCTTAAGTGTCTCCTTAATATGTGCCTTTTAAGTATATATTATTCATTTATCTTTGACATCTTTTACTACCACTTGTAGGTTTTTTAAAAAATTTGTAGATAGAGATAAATTGTATGTGTTAATTGCTGCTTATAGAAGAGATGAGTATTTCATGAAGATTAATCCTTGCTAAATTCTATCTAATTGATCCATGCTGGCAATTTATCAGCCTGTTTTAAAATTTTAATAAAATATCTTATCAGTGAAAAAATAATCTGCTGTGGCTGGAATTGAATTAAAGAAGACATTTGAAGCAGATATTTAAATGAACCAAGAGCAGTTAGTTTGAGAAAATTGGGTCAAGTTAAAAATGATATAACATTTCTGTTGATGTTTATATAACTGCCTCTTCAAAAATATGAAATAAGTTTTAAAACATCTTAAATTATTTTTTAAATAATAGTTCTTTTCCTAATTCCTTTAAAAGCTTATAAAGTGGTTGATTTGAGAATGCATGATTTATGAATAATAATGCCCTAATTTTCTTAGTAGGTGTAGCTTTAGTGGGATTGAAAAGCAACAAGAACTATTGATACTCAATTTAAGAGATACACTAACAGTATTCTGATCTTTTTTTCAAGGAATGTGTCTTTAACACATATAGCTATTGTAATGTTAATCTCGCATGTGAATACATGTGTGTGTGTGTGTGTGTGTGTGTGAGAGAGAGAGAGAGAGAGAGAGAGAGAGAGAGAGATTGAGATCGATTGGTTTTTGTGTTAACGCCAACAATATGGTAAAAGAGCAATTGATATTGGCTTAAGTAAATTCTTTTGAGGGATAGTACCTTGTGAAATCTTTGAATATTCTTACTGATTTCTTGTTTTATCTCATTATAAAAGGTAGTACTCTTAACTCACGGCCTTATATGAGTGGTGGTTTTGTTGGGTATTAACTTTTTCTTTTTTAATTTGCATGCATTTCATAAATACAACTTTGATTCACAGGTTGTTTGCATCCGCTCTACCTGGAATGCTCTGTCCCCAAAGCTGAGTTGTGATACAAGACCTCTCATTTTGAAGACCCTAAGTGAACTGTTTTCTCTGGTTCCTTCCTTAACAGTCAATACAGCTGAATATGAGGTATGGAGTTGGAGCTCAGCAAATTGCCTGTTTCTCTATTGGAAATATGTACGTTACTACCCTTTGAAGTAACTTCCTAACCTTTGGTTTCACAAAAATCCTTCAACTTTTTTTGTTCTGATAACATGTTCGTATCTTTGTGGATCCTTAGAAATACTAGGATATCTACCCCTCTTAATTCTGTGTCTCTTAGAATTACTTACATAAGGCCTACTGTGTGTTTACTATTAGAGTTTGGTGAAGATTTCACAAAGTCAGTATATTAAAAATAGTGTTTCTAAACCAATAGAGTGTGTAAGACTTCCATTTTGAAATCTTCCCCCCCCCCCCCCCACAGGCAGAGTTAGACAGTGAAAGAGAGAGACAGAGAGAAAGGTCTTTCTTTTCTGTTGGTTCACCCCCCAAATGGCCGCTACGGCCGGCGCGCTGCAGCCTGCGCACCGTGCTGATCCGAAGCCAGGAGCCAGGTGCTTCTCCTGGTCTCCCATGCAGGTGCTGGGCCCAAGGACTTGGGCCATCCTCCACTGCACTCTCGGGCCACAGCAGAGAGCTGGCCTGGAAGAGGGGCAACTGGGACAGAATCCAGCGCCCCAACCGGGACTAGAACCCCGTGTGCCGGTGCAACACGTGGAGGATTAGCCTAGTGAGCTGCGGCGCCGGCCTCTTTATGTTCTTGAAAATAAGCTACAATGACTTTAATGAAGACAAGACAAATTTCTCCGATTGTATGAATTTCACTGGTTGTTTTTGTGGTGGCTGACACTTAGTGGAAGATTCTGTGCATAAGGTTCATGCATTACTGCTTGATGCTTTCCTCATTGCCTCTTTGAATGAAATGAGTTAGAGGAGAAGACTTTTATGTCTCTACTTTTGTAGGCCAGGCCATAATCTCTTCCATATTCATCTTTTGTTCCATTTCCTTCAAAGAGCAGCAGCTGATTTTTACTCGCTATTTTGGTGAACTTTTAGTTTGATTTAACAAGAGACCTCGAATAGCTAAAGCAATCTTGTACAACAAAAACAAAGCCGGATTTAATACTTCATAGACTTTGTAAACTACCATTCCTTAAAATTCTATTAATAGTCCCTTACATGTTTTAGATCAAGTAATTGAACAGGATTAGGATAATATTTCTAATCACTCTAAAGGCTGCAAAATAAATAAAATCAAATTTGTCCTTATTGAGTGCCTGGCGCATTATGTATATTCAGTAAGTAGTTGTTGAATGAATGACTAAACAGTACAGGGTATTTTGATTTAATTCTCACATGTGGGCTTTTGTTTTAAAGTATTGAAGGATCAATTTGTCAGACCTAAGATATATAGTTCCCTATCAGTCTTTTTTATGGATGTGATTCATAGATACTTGCTCTTACATAGTCACAGAGTCTGCAGGGTTACTGATAAGGAGCTAAGCTAAGACTAAAATCCAGTGTAAGGGTATTTTCTGAATGTGTTTTCTGTCTTCAAGTGATGAACTCATATATACCATTGTATTTCATGTGCTTTTGGTTATTTGGATCCTATTACAGGTCAGTGTATGAAGTAGATTCTGTGTGTTTGTTTCTTATGCTTGCTTAGCAAATTGTCTTCTGGGTTATTTTTTTTCTTTTAGATTTCACATCTTTTTCACTGCTATCTTATTTTTTATTTATATTCATATTATATAATATTAGGGTTCCTCTGTTGTTCAGACAAAATATTTGGGGGTCATTCTGTCCGTATTTTCTCTCCCAGTCACTTTGCTGGTGAGTCGGGGAATCCAGAGACTACCATGCCTTTGGAAGCAGGAATGCAGAAATACAGAGGGAAAGATTTTTTTTCCTTCCCCTTTATCCTTACCTCTCTCCATTCCATGTCTATTTAGATAATTTGTTTTGTTTTAACTGCTTAGAATTAATTTGGATGTGAGCCACTAGAATTGAATTTAGTTTTTCCAAGACATTTTTTTTGGTCATTTCTTTCCCTACTCACCTTTATGTTTTCTTTTTGCCTAAAATAAATGAAGTCCAATGTCTTTATACTGTCAATAAGGCCTTCCTAAATCCAGCTTTTACTCCATTGCTCTGTATCCTGTACTCCAGAAAAACTGAACCATTAATAATTTTCCTATTTGTCTCCAAACATTTCTGTTTCTTTTCCTGTGCTTGTGTTGTTTCCTCTGTCTAGAATTACCTTTTTGTGAACATATATATATATATATATATATATAATTTTAAAATTTGTTTTAGGAATCATGATTATTTTTAACTAATGCAGTTCTTTTAGTTTTTGTCTGTAAGCAGCAGTTTGTTGTTCCCAAAATTCTTTAATTTATTTTTTTTAAAGATTTATTTTATTTATTTGAAAGACAGTGTTACAGAGAGAGGTAGAGATAGTGAAAGAGGTCTTCCATCCGCTGGTTCACTCCCTAGATGGCCGCAGTGGCTGGAACTGAACCGCTGCACCATGGCACCGGCCCCACTCTTTAATCTGTTTAAGCACATTTATTTCTATAGTGTAAAACATATATATGTACATACCATTTTCTCAATTAAATTCCAAATTTATTGAAAATGGAATCATTGATTCAACTGTAGTGGTTTTTTTTTTCAATTGCTTAGCACAGTGCTTGGTACATTTATTAATTGACTCAATATATTTATTAAAGCTCTACTGGGGCTTATAGATACTAATAAATAATAATAATTACTATTATTGAGTACCTAGTAACTCTCTAGCACTCTTGTAATTATTATATACCAATTAGTTGTAGTATCTGATATGAAAGTACTATTTTATATTTCATAGCTAATGAAACAGATTTTAAGAGGCCTATCCATTTATTAATCAAATATTTATTGAGATCTGTTATGTACAAGGTAAATAATCTGATTATAATTACTAAGAAAAAGCTGATACCTGAACTCATAGCCTATATTTTTCCATTATACCATGGTATCAGTTCCTACCTCCCAGATGTTCAAAGTTGGGCAAAGGAGAAAACATGAGAAATGATATTATAACAACATTTGATGAGTACACTTATTCAGAGAACAATGAATCTGTGGTAGAAAAATAGCATTTTTAGGAGAAATCCAAGGAAACCTTATTATAGTTGGTGCTATTAGACTTGGGTCTTAAAGAATTCATTTAATGCTGCTTCCCATTGAAATTTTGTGGATGGTATATGCAAAGGGGAAGGGATATAGGAGAATATTTGACTTATAGTGGCAAGCCATTATATGTGACTGAAATGAAGAAGATACTAAGTGTTGGAAAAGAAGTTGCTTTTATTCTCATTCCATTATTTATTCAATATTTGTCATCATTGGGGAACTATCCTGGGCTCCATCAGCTCTGTCTTTGAAATGACAGACACAGTCACTGCCCCAAGGAGTATACAACTTAGTAGGGAGTTAATCATACCAGATGCTAAAGTGTGCCATGTGCCATATGGTCAGTTGGACAAAGGAACACTTTTCTAGGTAGGGGATCAGGAACAGTGACATAAGAAAATGATATTTGTATTAGGACTTGAGGGGTCAGTATGAAATGGTCAGATTTCTAAATTTAATAATCTTGAAATCTCAGTATGTTTTATATATCTTGTGTTCAGTTGATATGCCTGTTTCTGAGCATTTTCAATTTATAAATGGCGGATAAACACAAATTAAGCCAGTTACTATTGGTGAAGTTTAAAAAGTGATTTAATTCTATTATTTGCTAATTATGATTGTTTATTCTCAATTTTAACTTTGTCTTAAAATTTTATTCTGGTGTTTACTGATTTTTCAGAATTTTAAAGTTCAAGTCCTCAGCTTCCTCTGGACCCAGACTCAAAATAAGGTATTGTCACAAGGGTTAGCAACAACTCAAAGCAAAAGCTGGGAAAAGAAGATTCTTTTTTTTTTTTTTTAAATAAGACTTTTAAAAAAATATTTATTTATTTATTTGAAAGAGTTACACAGGGAGAGGAGAGCAGAGAGAGAGAGAGAAGTCTTCCATCCTTTGGTTCACTCCCCAATTGGCCGCAACGGCCAGAGCTGTGCTGATCCAAAGCCAGGAGCCAGCAGCTTCTTCCAGGTCTCCCACACGGGTGCAGGGGCCCAAGGACTTGGGCCATCTTCTACTGCTTTCTCAGGCCATAGCAGAGAGCTGGATTGGAAGAGGAGCAGCCGGATCTTGAACCTGCGTCCATATGGGATGTGGCACTTCAGGCCAGGGCGTTAACCTGCTGTGCCACAGCGCCGGCTCCTAAATAAGACTCTTTAGAATAAAAGATATAACTCCCTTGAAATGATGGCTTAAGATTTTTTAAAAAAGATATTACTATTGATAAGCTTGGGTTTTAAAAATTATTCCTGATTTCTTCCCATTTATGCATTCTCACCATAAAGTAGACTTAATATTTTTCAATCTGCGAGGTGTAAAGAAGGACTGTTGACATTAACTCATGTTTTTACGTGGCCCTTCATCTTTTCCTGCTTTACTCCTCCCCTACCAAGAAGTATGACAAACACACAAAAAATCCAGTGCATTGTTTCAGTGGTTTTTTTCAATCAGGGATTAGAGAGAAGAAGGTGTGAGTGGTGTTATGACTGACTCCTGGGTGAAGGAACTTCACTTAAAAAGGCCAATTTGCATGTGAGTAGGTGGTGGAGAATCAGAAAGGAAACCTTGGTTTGTCAGTCTCCACACCCTCATAGTGCTACCATTAATCCATACTCCTTCATGGGGACCTGAACAATTATGAGTTACTTTATGTTTAGGAAAAAATTTAATGTTTCCTATCCCTTTGCCTTTCATATTATTTCCCTTTGTATTTTTAGTTGGTACAAATTCTTAGGAAAAATATATGGTGCCAATAATTTTTCCCAATGGTTCTAACTCCACTCCTCAGGCTCTTTCACTCTTATATCAGTATTTTCTTTTGAAATGAGGATAAAGTTCCTTGAATTCTCTTCTGAAATTCCTAGATAATGCAGTTTTGCCCTAAAAGTGGCTTGAAAACTGTTTCCAAAGCACTGACTGTAAATGTTGGGATAGGTAAGGGAAGGATTTCTTCTTCCAGATTTGGTGTTTCACATATGTTATTTTTTTTTTACTTGTTTTCATTTCTTTTACCCTATCTAGGACCCAGTTGTAGCAAATGCTGCATATAAATCTCTGTCCCACTTTAGTGCAGGGGAACACACCATTCTTCATCTGCCTGAACAGGTAAGCATATCTGCTTTTTCACTGGTGTCTCCTTACTTTGATGGTTTTCATGACTTATTTTTTTTCTTCCTCCTAAGAGATCTTTGCCTGATGACTGTATATCATTATATAACTCTAGATATGTTGTTCACACAAAATAAGTATTTGCGTTCATAATTTGTTTACTCTTTAAAAGATAATAAACATCATAGGATTCACAGGTAGTGAATTTAAATCACTTGGAAAAGGTGGAGGACACCTATAATGCTAATGAAGTTTTCATAAGATGATTGGGTATATGGTTTGGTCCAGAAGATCCACACTTAGAGGAACCACTTTGCAGTCAAGTTGGCGCACTGTTTCAGACCTTCATAGACTAAGGTTTAATACCACTTGTGCAGCTAAAAATATTTATTTGTGATGAATGCCACATGAATATACTCTATTAGTATAGTGTGAAATGATATATAGATTAGCTCCAGAGTACTGGACAGAGGAAAGTATCACGATCTTTGAAAGGCAGCACATAGGATAGTATTACCTTAGTTTTCAGACTAAACTAAGAAACATTTAGTGGCCGGTGCCGCGGCTCAATAGGCTAATCCTCCGCCTGCGGCGCCGGCACCCTGGGTTCTAGTCCCAATCGGGGCGCCAGATTCTGTCCCGGTTGCTCCTCTTCCAGTCCAGCTTTCTGCTGTGGCCCACGAGTGCAGTGGAGGATGGCCCAAGTCCTTGGGCCTTGCATCCACATGGGAGACCAGGAGAAGCACCTGGCTCCTGGGTTTGGATCAGCACAGTGCACCGACTGCAGTGGCCATCGGGGGGTGATCCAATGGAAAAAGGAAGACCTTTCTCCCTGTCTCTCTCTCTCACTGTCCACTCTGCCTGTCAAAAAAAAGAAACATATAGCCTTGCCTAATATCTACCTGACATAACTGCTTTAAATTATTTGATCATGTTAAGGAGTTCAATATCTGGTTTTACATTTAGTGTCACTACTACTAATCAAATGCATACAGATACTTATGAAATTCCATTACAGTGTAAGGCAGGCATTGTGTTACATGAAGATATGTATAACATTACCCAGAATTTGTCCGGGAGATCAATTGATGAAGAAATTTGGTGTGAATTTTGTGGAATCCTTAGACATTTGGCTTTTTCTTATGGATTGGGTTTATACAGCGATTAGATGCCAGCAGGAAACAGACAAACTTCTGTTTACTGAAATGAAGTCACCATATAAAAAAGATTGCAGGTAGCGTCCTTTAAAAACTAAATCCTAAGTAAGGCAGGATTAACTATGTTTTTGAGGAGTCTTATGACAGATTGTCTGATTTGTCATGCAGTGATCACAAATGGAAGGGCTGAAGTAAAGATGTTTATAATTCTTACATTTAAAAATCATGGAACTTCAGATTGTACTCTGGTGACTAAGTGTCCATTGTTACTTAACAAAGACAAAGAGAAAAAAATTATATGTTGAACTTGGTGTGTATATGCATACCAATAGATTAGCTACAACATCTGGAGAGATACCTTTTATTAACATTGTTATGATCATTAATATTATTATTTGAGAGGCAGAGAGATAGAGGTAAAGAGTCCTCCAATTGTTGGTTTGCTCCCTAAATGCCCACAGTGGATGGAAACTGGGAGCTGGGAACTCAGACCAGGACTCCCAAGTGGATAGAAGGATCCCAGTTGCTTCAAGCGCCACCTGCTCCCTCCCAGGATCTTCATTAGCTGGAGCCAGAGCCAGCCCTGAAATCTAGGTACTCTGACATAGGATGTAGCTTTTATTATTTTTAAAAAGCAGCTTTTTATTTAGATCACATCATAAAAAGTCTTTATTTTTAGCAGAACTGAAATACTGCAACTGGAGTAATAGCTCTTATTAAATAACTCCCACATACTCTTGACTGTTTAATCTCTACCTCTTGCAGTATTGACATGTCTATTTTTTCCAACTTTAGGGCTATATTCTATTTATGATTATGTTTGTAAGAGTTTTACACAGTTAAATGTTATTCTCAAATGATAGCCACTCCCTTAATCTAACTCTTCTATACCCTCTGATTCCTGAATAGCCATAAAATTTTTTATATATTTTACCACCTATAGTTGTGATATACTTAGAACTGGGTTTCTCTGGGCATTCACAGTTAGAAAGTGAAGAGTTAGAAACAAAGCTATGACACATACCTTTCATGGCTGTGCTTTTCTACTTTGTTGTTGTTGTTGTTCTGCCCTAAACCCCTTCTGGGATATGATCTACCCTAAAAAGTAACCCTGATTCTCCATGGTGAGTAATCTCAACTGAGGTTTAAGTTGAGAAGGTATAAGTGGTGTGAGAGAATCTCTCCCACTTGGGCGCCCATGTTCTGAAACAGAGGACATCTCTCTTCTTGGAGAATCATTGTTTCCAAGATGACACCATGCATACTTCTTTGTGTTGATTGCGGCATTTCATTCTGGTTGTTTGAATACCAGAAGACTGCAAGTCCAGAAAATGTCACTGTTTTCATGTCCCAGACTATTTCCAATAGGCTAACAATACAACCAGGTCAGCACTACACCTCTGTTTTATGGGTGATGGCAGTGGGGTAAAATAGACTCATTTTCTTTCCTTTTTTTTTTTTTAAAGATGTATTTATTTATTTGAAAGTCAGAGTTACACACAGAGAGAGAGAGGGAGGGAGTGAGGGAGGGAGGGAGAGACAGAGAGGTCTTCCATCCGCTGGTTCACTCCCCAATTGGCCACAATGGCTGGAGCTGCGCCAATCTGAAGCCAGGAGCCAGGAGATCTTCTAGGTCTCTCATGTGGGTGCTGGGGCCCAAGGACTTGGGCCATCTTGTACTGCTTTCCCAGGTCATAGTAGAGAGCTGGATTGGAAGTGGAGCAGCTGGATCTCGAACCAGTGCCCATATGGGATGCCGGCGCTTCAGGCCAGGGTGTTAACCTGCTGTGCCATAGCGCTGGCCCCGACTCATTTTCTATAAAAGCATATTTTCAACTGTTTTCAAAGTCCCTGCCAAGCAGGGATTTCTATAATGTACAAACTAAGGTAGCTCTTTGTTGTTGGAAGATTACTCACTCTGTACCAAGGGCAATTGGCTTACTAACAAAATTTAAGATTATCCATATACATTTCCAGTAAAAGTACATCCTGCATGTCTCTTTCTACTTGTAGCAACTTGTGAAATAAACCTGTGAGTCCACTGTACGTTTCACATAGAATGAAAAAAAAAAAACTTGATATAAATGCACCTTATAAGTATGACAATTTTTGTGGGTTGTAATTCAAAAATTAAGACACACGTTCTACATCTTCAAATTTACTTAAATATTTCTCATTGATTGATGGACATGAATTTATAGTGACAATTTGTTGAAAGTTAACAGAATGGTAGAACAAAAAGAATAAAAAGGAGAGGCAAACATCAGAAGGATTGAGGATTGCAGGAAATGGCACAACTAAAATATAAGATGGAAATTATGGGTAGTAGAGCTCAATGCGATACCATGTGAGTTGGAGATCTGAATACCAAATTCATTAATTCATCTTTCTTATTACTTTTTTTAAATGAGGAATTTCTGTATGATTTAGTGATGGGCACTAAATGCTTGCATATGTTTAACAATTATTTATTTGATATGTAGTATGTTCTAGGCTCTGTCATATGAGTTGAAGCTGTTATTGAAGGAATATGTCTTGTTGGTTTATAACAATGTCATTTTTAATGACAAAGTATGCAAATCTAAAGTTGATACAAAATTTTAGAGGGACTTTTGAGGACATGTTGATTCTAATATTGAAACATACACAAGAATGAATTTCATCTGTTAGTTTTAGCTATTTACCCTATTCCCTTGCCACAAAAAAAAAGATAACAAAAAGTGATGTGCATTGTTAGAGATAACAAGAAAATGATACAGATTGTTTTTATGGTAAAACAATCAGTAATGGATAAACTTTTAGGTAGAGGTTATTGATTCTTGTCTCTGACCTCAGTTCATTAAAAATATTCAGCTATTTAAAAATTAAACCTTTTTTATAGCAATCATAAGATAGATTGTTTTGTTGATTTCTGGAGTTAATTTTAGAAGTAATATAGAAAAGCTCATTATGCACCCAGGGTTGGTATAAATATGGTATAATCCACTTGGCTTTGATTTAAGTGAATGTCACTGTATTTATTAGAAGTCATTTCTCTTTTTAACTGAATTTATACAGATACTTGATGTGTTCCAAATAAAAATCCTCTGTTTATGCACAGATCCTTGGATTTTCATATTTTACATATATGGAAAGGTAGATGAAAGGTTATATGGATGAGAATCCACAGCCAAATATTTTGTAGGCTAAACTTTTCAGTATTCAATCTGAAGAAGATTTGAAAAGTAATTTGTCATTTTATCTTTGTCTTTCTATTGAAGAAATTTTTTAAATAATGTTTAACCATGACTGGAAGGGTATTGTAGTGTATATGTGCCTTAAATATAGTCCAATTTTTCCTAGATGTTTTGTGGGTAATATAATTGCTGAAATTTTATAACTATTTCTTTCATTTGACTTCTCTTGATTCTTCCTAGTAGTATTCTCATTGAACTTACTCATTTTTTGCACACAAATGAAGGGAAAAGACAGATGTTAACATAGGGAGATGAAACAAACAATTCTTCAAGAGGTGAGCAGAGGAGGAGGGAGTTGTATTGGAACCCAGGTCTAGCAGTAAATGCTGATTTATCCAGGAGAACCAGCTCACCATTAGGAAATGAAAATTGAAGAGTTGATTTACCATTTTAAGTAAATACACAGAATATATCTTTTATGCTTAGAGTACATTTCTTTTTTTTATTTTTTATTTTTTATTTTATTTTTTGACAGGCAGAGTGGACAGTGAGAGAGACAGAGAGAAAGGTCTTCCTTTTGCCGTTGGTTCACCCTCCAGTGGCCGCTGCGGCCGGCGCGCTGCAGCTGGTAGACAGCGCTGATCCAATGGCAGGAGCCAGGTACTTATCCTGGTCTCCCATGGGGTGCAGGGCCCAAGCACTTGGGCCATCCTCCACTGCACTCCCTGGCCACAGCAGAGAGCTGGCCTGGAAGAGGGGCAACCGGGACAGAATCCGGCGCCCCGACCGGGACTAGAACCCGGCGTGCCAGCGCCGCAAGGTTGAGGATTAGCCTAGTGAGCCGCAGCGCCGGCTAGAGTACATTTCTAATTTCTGTGTTACTATTAATGCCTATTCAGGATTTAGAAATATGTTATTCACTGTATAGCAGATAAATTAGTACAGGCACCTAGTAATGAGTTTGTGAAATAAAACAATTTGAGATTTATGGGTGGGTCAATTTTCTTCATCCTCAACTCTTTCTTTAGTAACTCTTAGATAGAATGATGTCATGGGTGCTGTGACTCATTTTATTTAAGTTAGGGTAATGAAGCAGAATGTCTGGACAGGATAAGCTGTGTGTAAAAGTGATCATATCTCTTCTGTAGTAAATAATTCTGGGAAGTTTTTGATAATTTGGTATAACGTCCCTACTAGTTTGAAGTCCTTCTTTCTGGCAACCATGGCAACTCTGTCAGAAGCTCCCTTCTTCTGCTCTTCCTTTTTAAAAAATAGCTTTATTGACATATAATTCACATATTATAGGATTAAAGTATATGATTAAGTTGTTTTGTTTATTCAGAGAATTGTGCAATTAATAAAGAGCAACCACAGTTTAATTTTAGAGTATTTGTCCACCTGAAAGAAACCCCTTTTTTTAAATTTATTTATTTATTTTTATATAGATAGCGTTAGACAGTGAGAGAGAGAGACAGACAACAAGGTCTTCCTTCCATTGGTTCACCCCCAAATGGCCGCTAAGGCCGGAACTAAGCGTATCCGAAGCAAGGAGCCAGGTTCTTCTTCCTAGTGTCCCACGGGAGTACAGGTGCCCAAGCACTTGGGCCATCCTTCACTACCTTCCCAGGCCACAGCCGAGAGCTGGACTGGAAGAGGAGCAACCGGGACTAGAATCCGGTGCCCATATGGGATGCCGGCGCCGCAGGCAGAGGATTAACCAAGTGAGCCACAGCTCCAGCCCCTTATTTTTATTTTTTATTAGTTTTTTTTTTTTAAGATTTATTTATTTATTTGAAAGTCAGAGTTACACAGAGAGAGGAGAGGCAGAGAGAGAGATTGAGAGAGAGAGGTCTTCCATCCTCTGGTTCACTCCCCAGATTGCTGCAATGGCCGGAGCTGTGCTGATCCAAAGCCAGGAGCCAGGAGCTTCCTCCAGGTCTCCCACACGGGTGCAGGTGCCCAAGGACTTGGGCTATCTTCTATTGCTTTCCCAGGCCATAGCAGAGAGCTGGATCAGAAGAGGAGCAGCCAGGACTCAAACCAGTGCCCATATGGGATGCCAGCGCTTCAGGCCAGGGCATTAACCCTCTGTACCACAGTGTTGGCCCCCTTATTTTTATTCTTTTAAAGATTCATTTCATTTATTTGAAATACAGAGTTACAGAGAGAGGTAGAGACAGAGAGAGCCGTCTTCCATCTGCTAGTTCACTCCCCAGATGGCTGCAATGGTTGGAGCTGAGCCAAGCTGAAGCCAGGAGCCAGGAGCTTCTTCTGGGTCTCCCACGTGGGTTCTCAGGCCCAAGCACTTGGGCTATGGTTTCTCAGGGCATAGCAGAGAGCTGAATTGGAAGAGGAGTAGCTGGGACTAGAATCGGCGCCCATATGGGATGCCAGCACTTCAGGCCAGTTCTTTAACCAGCTGTGCGACAGGACCGGCCCAAGAAACCCTTTACCACTCACCATAATCTCAACCCTAAGCAACCACCAATTTACTTTCTGTCTATAAAAAAATCTATTTTCTATTCTGAACTTTTCTTACAAATGGGAGCATATAGGATGTGCTCTTTTGTGACTGTCTTCTTTTACTTAGCATTGTGCATTTAAGGTTCTTTCATGTATATCATGTATATATATTTTATTCTGTTTTATGACTGAATAATATTTCATTATATGAATATACCACATTTTATTTATATAGTCATCAGTTGATGTGCATGTAGTTTGCTTCCCTTTTTGTGTATTATGATAAGTAATACTGCTATGAATATTCATGATTAAGTTTTTGTTTGATCATATATCTTCATTTATCTTGGTTAGAAGTGGAATTTACTGGGCTGTATATAAGAGTTCCCTTTAACTGTTTTCCAAAGGTATTATGATGAGTAAAAAGTCAGAAAGCAAGGCAGAAGGACACAAAATTTTCTCCTTTTTCAGGACTTTTTGAGGCCTCTAGGGCTGGTTAGAATCTAAGACAACTTGTGATGATACTACAACTAGAAAATTTCAGATATTTATCCAACAGAAAACACCTGGAAAACCGTTTATGTCACAGCCAAAAAACCCTGACATGCCAGGGTTTCTCTGGTATACAGTATTATCAACAGAATACTGCAATGCTCTATCCAGAGCACATTTGATTGTTATTTCTGTAAGCAGAATTTCTCTCTGAGATTTAGGTGCTCAATACTGAATCTGAATTAAATCTTGTCTTGGAAAATCTTCGGTGATCACATTGCCTTCACTCTTCCTTCAGTAATGAAGAGAACACTAGTTATGGTTGAAGGGCTTCACTGGAGTTGAGATTATTATACTTAAGAGAAGCATTTTCTTTCTGTTTTCTTTTATCCCCCTGCAAGAGTCCTGACTCAGTGCAGTTCCTAAATGAAATGGTTCTTTGGGGACCTATGAAGAAGGCAGTCTGCAGGAATTGTTAATTATTTCTAAAAATAACTCCGGGAGACAGGCTAATGGTAATGACTGGGTGCTGGCACTTTATGGTTATAGCAACCACTTTTACATATTTTGATTTCCTCCCCCAATGCTTAATTATCTCTATGTGGGCATTATGATGGTATGTCATTGAAAGTATTAAAAATTTAATTAATTGCTTACCAATTATATCTTGTAGAAACTACAATAGTGGTAACTCTTTTCCATTTTTTATTTGTGTTTCAAACAAACCTAACTAATGACAGAGCAGCCACAAAATCTTCAAAATGCAAATTAGATACAATAAAGTATAGCTACCAATTACAGATTTTAGTGTTTTGTATTCTATAGCAACAAACTGGCAGGTTTCAGAGAAAAGTCAATGAAAGAATTCTCTCATTTTCTGATATCTATATTCTTTTTTTTTTTTTTTTTTTTTTTTTTTTTTTTTTTTGACAGGCAGAGTGGACAGTGAGAGAGAGAGACAGAGAGAAAGGTCTTCCTTTTGCCGTTGGTTCACCCTCCAATGGCCGCCGCTGCAGCCGGCGCACCGCGCTGATCCTGGCAGGAGCCAGGAGCCAGGTGCTTTTCCTGGTCTCCCATGGGGTGCAGGGCCCAAGCACCTGGGCCATCCTCCACTGCACTCCCTGGCCATAGCAGAGAGCTGGCCTGGAAGAGGGGCGACCGGGACAGAATCCGGCGCCCCAACCGGGACTAGAACCCGGTGTGCCGGCGCCGCAAGGTGGAGGATTAGCCTATTGAGCCACGGCGCCGGCCTCTGATATCTATATTCTATTGGAAGATTTTAACTTTTATATTGACATGGTTGAATCATAAATTTTAAAAAAGATTCATACAATAGAAATATTTAATTATAAGTCATAGAAGTTCAATATAATGAATTTATCAGTATTTGCCTTTTATTGTTGGATGGTGTAGAACTTTATTAGCTTTCTATAATAATCATTGGTTATGTTGGTTTATGATGATTTTCTTATTGTATTACCAGTAGTTCATTAAATGGGTTCAAGATTATACATAATAAGATGACCAGAGTTTACCATTTAATTAAACTGGAAAATGAATAGATATTTTAAAATAAATCTTAATATGTTTGACATTACAGAGTAATGGAGTCTTTAATTCTGAGATGAAAGCACAAAGAGAAAGTTCTGTATAATGTTTTAAAATCATTCTCTCTAAAATCTTAAATTTGTCATTTCAGATAAGACCAGAAATCCCTGTTCCTGATGAATTAGATGAAGAAGATGAGGAGGAAGTAGATCTTTCAGTTCCTGGCTTTTGCTATCTTAAACTGTTGTCAATCACTGCTCCTTTGGTTTTGCCAGGTGACTACTATTTGATGATGGGCAAGCTAGAATTTTTCAGTTATTTTGCCTTTCTGTATTCTTTTGTTAGTGTAGATACTATAATTTCCTTTAATCCTAGATACTTACTTTGTAATTGAATGCTAAATGCACCAGGCTGTTTTTTTTTAATTATTTCAGGTATTTACAGTGTTCAAAACATACCATAGAAATGTTAAACTCAAGTAAAATTGAGCTGGAAAATTAGTTTAAACAATCATTTTCATTGATAATTAAAATTCATTTCAAAAGCTAAATTTATTCCGGAAGACAAATTTGCAATGGGACTCCCTAGGTCACTAGTTTAATTAATGCTTCTTCATTACACAAACTAAGTGAAAAAGATCATTAGACTAGTCAGAGATTTACTGGGTAGTTCCATCATTATAAATTTATTCTTTGTCTTCTTGTTTTTTCCCCCACAAACCTTTTATTTAAGGAATACAAACTTCACACATTTCATAAATACAACTTTATGAATATAGTGATTCTTCCCACCATACCCTCTTCTTTCTTTAGGATTTTTAGTGATGTCTTAGAACTCTAAGTTAAATCTTTTAAAAAATGAATAAGCTTGTAGGGTCATTTAGTTTTAATATAAAGTTTATAGGAACTTAAGGTTTTTTTTTTTTTTTAATTTTTTGACAGGCAGAGTGGACAGTGAGAGAGAGAGACAGAGAGAAAGGTCTTCCTTTGCCGTTGGTTCACCCTCCAATGGCCGCCGCGGCCGGCGCGCTGCGGCCTGCGCACCGCGCTGATCCGATGGCAGGAGCCAGGAGCCAGGTGCTTTTCCTGGTCTCCCATGGGGTGCAGGGCCCAAGCACTGGGCCATCCTCCACTGCACTCCCTGGCCACAGCAGAGAGCTGGCCTGGAAGAGGGGCAACCGGGACAGAATCCGGCGCCCCAACTGGGACTAGAACCCAGTGTGCTGGCACCGCTAGGCTGGAGGATTAGCCTAGTGAGCTGCGGCGCCGGCCCTGAATGATTTTTTAAAACCTTAAGTTCCAGGCCAGCACCGCGGCTCACTAGGCTAATCCTCCGCCTTGCGGTGCCGGCACACTGGGTTCTAGTCCCGGTCGGGGTGCCAGATCCTGTCCCGGTTGCCCCTCTTCCAAGCCAGCTCTCTGCTGTGGCCAGGGAGTGCAGTGGAGGATGGCCCAGGTGCTTGGGCCCTGCACCTCATGGGAGACCAGGATAAGTACCTGGCTCCTGCCATCGGATCAGCACGGTGCGCTGGCCGCAGCGCGCCGGCCGCGGCGGCCATTGGAGGGTGAACCAACGGCAAAAGGAAGACCTTTCTCTCTGTCTCTCTCACTGTCCACTCTGCCTGTCAAAAAAGAAAAAAAAATCATTCAGGGGGCCAGCACCGTGGCTCACTTGGTTGGTTAATCTTCCTCCTGCAGCGCCAGCATCCCAAATGGGTGCTGGTTCTGTCCCGGTTGCTCCTCTTCCAGTCCAGCTGTCTGCTGTGGTCCAGGAAGGTGGTGGAGGATGGCCCAAGTGCTTGGGCCCTGCACCCGCATGGGAGACCAGGAGGAAGCACCTGGCTCCTTTCTTTGGATCCGCGCAGCACCAGCCTTGGTGGCCATTTCGGGGTGAACCAATGGAAGGAAGACCTTTCTCTCTGTCTCTCTGTCTATATCTCTACCTGTCAAAAAAAAAATCATTCAGTATATACATGTACTAATCATTCTATCTGAGTGTCATGTTTAGAAACACTCATCTGCCCTTTTACTATATGCCCTATCCAAGAAACAGTAGATGGTTGCATCTGAGAACTTTATTTGTGGACTCTGGGAATTTACATTATTTTTAAATTTCATTTTCTGATTAATAAAAAATATTTAAAATTCCCAGGGTGATCCCTTGTGTCTAAATAGCTTTTCAGTAATAGCCAGCATTTCACTATGTTCTGTTCCAATTCCACTTTGAATATTCCTGAATGTAAAATATCAATTTCTGAGAATGAAGTCCAGTGAAAACAAGAAATATCTCTTTATTTCCTCAGTCATGATCACACTAGCCTGTGATGTTGGAAATTCTTTTCCCTTGGTTTCATCCCACATAAGATTTCTGGGAAATTCAACTAAATGCATATGTTTATTTCTAACAAAAGCTCCTGTACCAAAATCTTTGCTACTTTTCTTTAGAGAAAACTGAGCATATAAAAGGGGCAAAGAATTCACTTTTTCTTTTCTCCTGATCTTTAGAACAAGGCTCAAAGACTTGTTCATTATTCCTCTCTTCTGTTTTTCTCCACTCCCTGACTCATAGCTCTTTGGAGTCTAAAATCTCCCTGAAGTGAATAGTGATGCAGAGAAGGAAAACATTCCTGCTGTATCCTAAAATGATGTTATTGTTAAAAGTCCTTTTGATGGGTGGAGAATGAACCTAACAGTTGTATCATATTGGGTACCTGGCTTTGATACCTGATTCTAGACTCCTGCCTAATTATCAGTCACTGGAGGCAGCAGTGATGGCTAAAGTAATTGGGTACATGCCACACATGTAGGAGACTTAGATAGCATTTCTGGCTCACAACTCTGACCTGGTCCAGTCCTGGCTCTTGCAGCCATCTGAGGAGTGAACCAGTGGATGGAAGACCTCTCCCTTTGTCTCTACCTCTCTCTGTAACTCTGTCTTTCAAATAAATAAAATAAATCTTTATATAAAAAAAAAAGAAAAGTTATCTGTAATGGCACCAGAAATATTAACAGTGAAATACATTAAACACAAACCAAGTTATATTATTATGTAGCCATTTTAATTTTTAATTTAGAAAATAACTTTATTTTTGATATTTTATAGTTTAAAAACTGATATGTGAACTGATTTTAATATCTTCATTGATAAATCTTCTAAGATTATTTCAGTGAACTTTTTAAAATGATTAAGAATAGCCTAAGGTGGTTGGTCAGCAGACATTTTAGAAATCTAACTCCAAATTTTTTTAAATTATTTTTTATTTGTATGTGTCTCATAAATGCTACATTAGGAACATAGTAATTGTTGCTACTGTGCCTGCCCTTTCACCCACTCTCCCCCTTCCTCCTCCCTCTCCCGTTTAATCTGACCAAAAAAAAGAAACAGAAAAAAAATGGAATAAAATACTAAAAGAACTGTTTCTCAACAGTCTATACAAGGGCTGTTCTATGTTATTGCTTCTTGTAGGTGATTTAGCTTTTTATCCCCCTTCCTCTTTTCCCTTCCTTCCTCCCCCTTATTTCCTTTTATAAACTTAATTGTCTTTAAAGAAGAACCCAAGGATGATACATATTTTATGAGCTCTCACACATAACTATAACTTGTGAGATGTAATAATATCCTTCATTTAATACACTAAATGGAAGTGATTCTTGAGAACAAGTTTTATTATTAAGTCTCATGATACAACTCTTTGGAGACAAAAGCCCTGCATGGAAAGTTAGTGCACAGTGCACTCACTGCCTTTAATTTAATCATGGTTACTTAAAGGAGGCTTCAGATGAACTTGTTCAGAATGAAATTCCAGAGTAGGCCGGCGCCACGGCTCACTAGGCTAATCCTCCGCCTTGTGGCCCTGGCACACTGGGTTCTAGTCCCTGTCGGGGCACCAGATTCTGTCCCGGTTGCCCCTCTTCCAGGCCAGCTCTCTGCTGTGGCCAGGGAGTGCAGTGGAGGATGGCCTAAGTAATTGGGCCCTGCACCCCATGGGAGACCAGGATAAGTACCTGGCTCCTGCCATCAGATCAGCACGGTGCACTGGCCAGAGCGCGCTGGCCGCGGCAGCCATTGGAGGGTAAACCAACAGCAAAGGAAGACCTTTGTCTCTGTCTCTCTCTCTCACTGTCCACTCTGCCTGTCCAAAAAAAAAAAAAAGGAAAAGAAATTCCAGAGTAATAAGGAGGCAGATACTTGGTTTTGTTCCTAAAACAGGCGCATTTAGTGGTTTCCTTCTTGTTTTCTGCTTCATTCAATTTTTTTAGACTTAATTTGATTTGTTTTGTTTGTTTTTGTTTTGTTTCTATATTGGGCAACCTGTAGTGGCACCTAGGAAAATAACACTTAAATATAGACCTAGTTAGCAAATATTTTATTTGGGCATCCTTTTGTCTTCTGTTCCCACATTTCTGTGTTGTTTTTAAGAAGCAAAATGCCAAACAATAAAGATCTTGGGCTTATCAGTGGTGGGGGAACCTTTTTTCTGCCAAGGGCCATTGGATATTTATAACAACATTTGTGGCCCATACAAAATTATCAGCTTAACAATTAGCCTGCTCTAGATATATTGAATTTTGAGCCCCATTTGTGGTTGCCAGACCAAATGATTTTGTGGGTCTTATTTGGCCTGCAGGCCAGACATTCCTCACCCTGGACTTAAATAGCAGAGACAGAAGTGAAGACATAATGAACAAGTATTTCCTACTTACATAATTATGCTATTAATGTTAGGGAATGATGGATAGTTGTGAAAGATACTGAAAACACCTAAATGACAAGAGGGATCCAGTCAAATGAAAATCAGAGACTAATGTGTTCCATGTAGAAGGATGAATAAGTGCAGTGGTTCTGACTTGGATATCAACTCTGTTTTTGAGGAATGGAAAGTGGCCATATAGCCTGAAATTCTGATATTATTATGTGTACAGTAAAACAAAAACACAAAAAACAAAACCACAGTGATTTTTTTGGGGAAAGGAATGGCAAAATTCTGGTTTTGAGATAGATGAAGCTTTCTAGGGGTGGTTCTGTAAGGAAAAGAAACCAGCAAACAAGTTTTTACATTAGTGTATATGAAGAAGAGAGAAGTTGGTAAGTAGACAAGTTGCAGTAACAATGGAGAAAAACGGGTTTAGGATATATTTTGAAGGTGAAATCAAAAGGATTTGCTAATGGATTTCATGGAAGAAGTAAGAGGAACATGAATAGTTATTCCTACTTTTTTTAAACAAATATTTATTTATTTGTAAGTCAGAGTTGCAGAGAGAGAGAACTTACAGCTGCAGTTTGACTCCCAGGTGGTGGCAACGGCTACAGCTGGCCCAGGCTGAAGGCAGGAGTCAGGAACTTCATCTAGGTCTCCCACATGGGTGGCAGGGGCCCAAACACATGAGCCATTTGCTGCTTCTCCTAGGCCATTTGCGGGAAGCTGGATTAGAAGTGGAGCAGTTGGGACATGATCTGGCACCCGTATGGGATGCTAGCATCTCAGGTAGTGGCTTTACCTGCTATACCAGAATGCTGGTACCCAACTCCAACAGTTTTAAATTTGAGCAACTACATATGTGTTCTAATTAGGGGAAATGAAGAAAGGGAAGGGAATCTAGAATTTTCTTTTTATTGTGTGAAGTTTATGTAAGTTATTTTTATGTTTTTATATGAATTTCTCATGTGACATACTTTATCTTTTCTCCTTTTATTGTCTTTCAGCTTTGGAGGAGTTTTTTACATCGCTTGTGAAGCAAGAAATGGTGAATATGCCCCGTGGCATTTATCACTCGGCATTAAAAGGAGGTGTCCGCTCAGACCAAGGAAAGACTGTGGCAGGAATCCCCAATTTTATATTGAAAATGTATGACACAAACAAGCAACCAGGATTGAAACCTGGCCTTGCAGGTAAGAATAGTGCAAAATATCAAGATATAGGTTTTTAATGTAATGATTCAACTTTCAATTCCAGGTAGTACATAATAAGTCATGGCAGGGCATTGTTGCTGCTGTCATTCATTTAGACACAGGTGCACACTACAAAAATTAATAATTATATTTCAAAATACCTTGTAACTGTAGAAGCAAAGACAAATAGATGAACTCCAAGTCTAGAGTAGGCAGAATATTTTAGAACTGTTTTTTTTTTTTTTACTCCGCTTGAAGGAGATTCATTGATTTTTGCTTGTACATGAAGATTGGAGGTTAGCACAGGCAAAGGCCTGGCCTGATGGAGGAAAGAGAAGCAAGTGGAATTCTTAGTGGTTGAATGGGACTATGGTGAAAAATTAGAGATTTTCCTCATTGGGCAGTTTCTGAATTTTGAACTTGTACCAAAAGCTAAAGATCCAGGCTTATTAAAGATTCTGAAAGGCAAATGAATTCTCCTGTCTTGTGGTGCTTAGCAGAAACACACTGACTAGAATGAGCTTGGAAACAAAGCACATAAGAGATAAAGCCCTAGAGAGAGTGGCGAACTTATGCTGAAGATCTACAGCTGCTCTCTTCTGGGTGCACTTGCTAATACTGGCCACATGGTGAGCATTCAGGCTCAACCTTAGCAAAACACTGGTGTAGGAGGTGGAAAAACCAACAGAGGTCTTGGCATTCATGTGGTACTGGAGTGAGAAAACACTAAATTTACAGCCTGTTTCTCTCTGAAGGTAATTGTCATATTTGAAGCTTTATTGGATGAGAGGCTAAGGAGCTAAGTTGAAAACTTCTGAGTACAGACTTAAATGTCTCATGATGTTCCTTGACTGAGGAATGAAAGACCCAGTGGAAGGATGGGGAGATGTTGTCCCTAAGAACAGGAGTGAACCAGAGGTAGACCGAGGTTTACCAAGATGGTAGTCAAGCTTAACCCAGACCAGTTTCTAATTTGGTTGAGATGATCAGTCTTTGACTCAGTCTATCTTACAGAAGAGACAAGAATCTACTCTCTGATATACAACTACATTATTTAAAGTGTCTATACTTTTTTCATATACTGTCTAACACATAATGAAAAAGTACTAGATATAGGAAAACAATAGAAATAAAGGGGACATTTCATGAAGATAAAGAAGTCTTGGCCGGTGCTGCAGCTCACTTGGCTAATCCTCCGCCTGCAGCTCCGGCACCCCAGGTTCTAGTCCTGGTTGGGGCACCAGATTCTGTCCCGGTTGCTCCTCTTCCAGTCCAGCGCTTTGCTGTGGCCCGGCAAGGCAGTGGAGGATGGCCCAGGTGCTTGGGCCCTGCACCCGCATGGGAGACCAGGAGGAAGCACCTGGCTCTTGGTTTTGGATCGGCGCAGCGCTGGCTGTAGCGGCCATTTGGGGGGGTGAACCAGCAGAAAAGGAAGACCTTTCTCTCTGTCTCTCTCTCTCTCTGTCTCTCTCTCTCTCTGTCTCTCTCTCTCTCACTGTCTAACTCTGCCTGACCAAAAAAAAAAAAAAAAAAAAAAAAAGTCTTTCCACTAGGAAAGCATCATCGATCATCGTTCTAATTGCTGTGCATGAAATGACATAGCTTCAAAATATATTTCAATAATCTGAAATAGAAGAGAAAGTATACACAATAATGTTGGAATTATTGAAGGTCATTTTCAATATTTGGCAGAGTAACCAGACAAAAATCCAATAACTATAAAATATATGAACAATACCATGAACAAACTACTTCATTTTCATTTAGAACATTGAACCTTGCAATGATACTTCATCTTCTTTTAACCATAGAAAATTTACTAAAATTATATATATTTTAGAACTACATAATAATTTTAATATATATTTATTTTAATAAAAAATTTATGGTAATAAAATAAGCAAAATGGTAGCCAGAAGTTAAACTGCCTTTTCTGTAGAGTGAGTGTGACTGTAAGGAGATAAGAGGAAGTTCTGAGATTTTGATAATGTGTTGTTTCTTGTGTGCTAGTTAAGTGTGTGTTCAGTGTATAAAAATACATTGTTATATACTTAATGGTAGCTGTGCTTTTCTCTTGTATCATACTTCAGTAAGAGATGCTCAGAAATGTTATGAAGATTAACATATGCAAAGCTTTTCTTTGTAATTTAAATTTATTTAAAAAAATCTGTCTAGAATAAGCAATTCACAAAAACTTAAGCCAGCAGTTTTAAATTTGCTAATTTATTTATATATCTATACTTATAATTATACTTATTTACTTATAAGTAACATATAAACGAGTGATATTTTAAATGGTGATTTTTTTTCTCTTCTATTTTTTCCTTTCCCTGAATACCAGTAGTCAAAAATAATTTCTTTAGCAAATTATCATTTCATTGTAAATCTATCAGGATTAATTATAGGTTACTAAGAATAAATTGATGAACTTTTGTCATAAGAAATGTTTGCATAAGTTTACTTTGTTTTAAAGGTGGTATGTTGCTTTGCTATGATATTTCAATGTACCAGAGTAAAGATGGCAAACCATTGAATCGACTGATGGCCAGTAGAGGGCGAAGTTTCAAGCAGACATCTCTCGCTCTTGTACATGAGGTAGGTGCCTTCTTATATCCCAATGCCCTCTTATTTGTGTTTAAAGGTATCTTTCTTTTGTTTTATGTTTATTGAATAATATTTTTGGAAATAGTTTTTATCATAATTAAGATATTTCTTTTAAAGATAACCAAAATATCAGATCTAACCAGCTACTAAAATATTTTATAATAATTTTTAAATGATTTTATTTATTTATTTGAAAGGCAGAGTTACAGAGAAAGAGGGAGAGACAGAGAAAGACACACAGAGAGAATGAGTTCTTTTGTGCGCAAGTTCACTCCAAATGGCTGCAGTGGAAGGAATAGGCTGGGCTGGGCTGAAGCCAGGAGCCTGGAACTCCATCCAGGTCTCCCACATGGATGGCAGAGTCCCAAACACTTAGACTGTTTTCTGCTGCTTTCTCAGGTGCATTAACAGGGTGTTGAATTGTAAGTGTAACAGCTAGAACTTGAACCAGTGTACATATAGGATGCTAGCATTGCAAGTGACAGCATAACCTGCTGTACCACAAACTGGCCCCTATATACTAAAATATTGATGTATTTCTGAAATAAATTGCCATGGTTCCCTACTGCCTAGAATAATTATTAGAGAGTAGCCTAGAAATTTGGTTTCTTTCATCAAAGTTTATCTTCTGTTTTCTAGGATAAATATCAATTCATTATTTAAAGAATGTTGCCTATTTTTACTTCTAATTCATTGCAAGGGTCTTGGGCATCAGTATTTATATTTTCCTTGTATTTGAAATTAACAGTAAATGAAAGTGTTTTATTATTTTAGTTTACTTTTTTTAAGATGAACACATTTCATCTTCTTTCAGCTTATTTTATACTAAAAACATTAACCCTACACTAAGTAATGAATTCAACAAATATTAAGAAGAAAAAAACACTATTTCTCAACAGTAGAGACAAGGGTTGTAAGCAATCATCAGATCTCAATTTTCACTTATATACATAATATTTTTTGGTACTCTATTAGTTACCATACATCAGGGAAAACATGGTATTCATCTTTTTTGGGATTGGCTTATTTCACTTAGTGTAATGGTATCCAGTTGTGTCCATCTTATTGCAAAAGACGGGATTTCTTTCTTTGTTTTTAATAGCTGAGTAGTACTCCGTAGTGTATGTACACCATATTTGCTTTATCCATTGATCAGTTGAACATTTGGGTTGATTCCATATCTTAGCTATTGTAAATTGAGCTTCAATGAACAGGGGGGCACAGATAACTCTTAAGATTCTCATTTCATGGCCGGTGCCATGGCTCAATAGTCTAATCCTCTGCCTGTGGTGCCGGCCAACCCAGGGTTCTAGTCCCAGTCGGGGCGCCAGATTCTGTCCCGGTTGCTCCTCTTCCAGTCCAGCTCTCTGCTGCGGCCCTGGAGTTCAGTGGAGGATGGCCCAAGTGCTTGGGCCCTGCACCCCATGAGGACCAGGAGAAGCACCTGGCTCCTGGCTTTGGATCAGCGCGGTGCGCCAGCTGCAGCGTGCTGGCTGCGGCGGCCATTGGAGGGTGAACCAATGGCAAAGGAAGACCTTTCTCTCTGTCTCTCTCTCTCACTGTCCACTCTGCCTGTCAAAAAATAAAAAATTTAAAAAAAGATTCTGATTTCATTTGGCATGGGTAAATTTTCAGGAGTGGGATTGCTAGGTTATATGTTAGGTCTCTATTGAGATTTCTGAGGTATCTTCATGCTGCCTTTCACAATGGCTGTACTAGTTTACATTCTCACCAAAGTGTATTAAGGTAATTTTACCCCACATCCTTGCCAGCATTTATTATTTGTTGATTTTTTGTATGAGAGCCATTCTAACTGGGTTGAGGTGAAACCTCATTATAGTTTTGATTTGCATTTCCCTGGTGGCTAGTGATCCTGAGTATTTTTTCATGTCTCTATTACCATTAAATTATCTCTTTTGAGAATACGTGCAAAATCTGTTGCCCATTTATTAACTGGATTTTTTTGATGTTGTTGAGTTTCTTGATCTCTTTATAGATTTTTTTTTTTTTTTGACAGGCAGAGTGGACAGTGAGAGAGAGAGAGACAGAGAGAAAGGTCTTCCTTTTGCCGTTGGTTCACCCTCCAATGGCCGCCGCACTGCGGCCGGCGCACCACGCTGATCCGATGGCAGGAGCCAAGTACTTTTCCTGGTCTCCCATGGGGTGCAGGGCCCAAGCACTTGGGCCATCCTCCACTGCACTCCCTGGCCACAGCAAAGAGCTGGCCTGGAAGAGGGGCAACCGGGACAGAATCCGGCGCCCCAACCGGGACTAGAACCTGGTGTGCCGGCACTGCAAGGCGGAGGATTAGCCTAGTGAGCCGCGGCGCTGGCCTCTTTATAGATTCTTGATATTAACCCTTTATCAGTATCACAGTTTGCAAATATTTTCTCCCATTCTGTTGGTGTCCTGTTCACTCTGCTAAGTGTATCCTTTGTAGTGCAGAAGCTTCTTAGTTTGATATAATCTCTTGTCTGTTTTTCCTTTGATTGCCTGTACTTCTGGGAGTTTTTCCAAGAAGTCTTTTCCTGTGACAATATCTTGAGGAGTTTCAAGTGTTCTCTAGTAATTTGATGGTATTAAGTCCTTGATTCATTTTGAGTTGATTATTGTAGAAGGTTTGAAGTAGGGATCTTGTTTCATACTTCTGCATGTAGTAATCCAATTTTCCCATGCCCATTTGTTGAACAGACTTTTCTTATTGCAGGAATTGATTTTAGTTCCTTTATAAAAGATTAGATGGTTGCAGATGTGTGGATTGATTTCTGGAGGTTCTATTCTGTTCCATTGGTCTACATGTCTGTTTTTGTGCCATCACCACGCTGTTTTGATTATAGTTCTGCACCATGTCTTGAAATCTGGTATTATAATGCCTCCAGCACTGTTTTCCTTGGTTAAGATTGCTTTAGCTCTTTGGTGGTCTCTTGTAATTGCATATAATTTTAGCATTGATGTTTCTAGTTCTGAGAAGAATGTTGTTGGTATTTTGATTGAATCCCTAGATTGCTCTTGGTACTATGGACATGTTGATGATATTGATTCTTCTAATCCATGAACACAGAAGATTTTCCCATTTTTGGTATCTTCTACTTCTTTCTTTTATGTTTTATAATTCTCATCGTAGAGCTCTTTGACATCCTTGGTTAAATTTGTTCCAAGACATTTAATTTTTTTGTAGCTATTGTTAATGGGATTGATCCCAGAAGTTCTTTCTCAGGCATAGCATTGTCTGGTATACAAAAGCTATTAGTTTTTGTGTGTTAATTTTATATCCTGCCACTTTACCAAACTCTTCTATGAGTTGCAATAATCTCTCAGTGGAGTCTTTTGAATCCCCTATATTTAGAATTGTGTCATCTGCAAATAGGGATAGTTTGACTCTCTTTTTCAAATTTATCCCTTTGATTTCTTTTGCTTGCTTTATGGCTCTGGATAAAACTTCCAGGGCAATATTGAATAGCAGTGGTGAGAGTGGCATCATTGTCTGGTTCTAGATCTTAATGGGAATGCTTCCAATTTCTCCCCATTCAAAAGGATGATGGCTGTGGGTTCGTCATAAATTGCCTTGATTGTGTTGAGGAATGTTCTTTCTATACCCAATTTGCTTAAGGTTTTTATTGTGAAAGGATGTTCTATTTTATTAGATGCTTTTTTCTGCATCCACTGAGATAATCATATGGTTCTTATTCTTTAGTTTATTAATGTGAGGTCTGATTTGCATAATTTGAACCATCCTTTCATACCAAGGGTAAATCTCACTTGTTCTGGTTGAATAATCTTTCTGATGTATTGTTGGATTTGATTAGCTAATATTTTGTTGAGGGTTTTTTACATCAGTGTTCATCGGGGATATTAGTCTATAGTTCTCTTTCTTTGTTGTATCTTTTTCTGGTTTAGGAACTAAGGTGATGCTGGCCTCATAGAAGGAATTTTGGAGGATTCCCTCCTTTTCCATTGTTTTGAATAGTTTGATAAAAATTGGAATTAGTTCTTCTTTAAAAGTCTGCTGGGCCGGCACCATGGCTCACTTGGCTAATCCTCTGCCTGCAGCACTGGCACCCGAGGTTCTAGTCCCAGTTGGGGCACTGCGTACTAGTCCTGGTTGCTCCTCTTCCAGTCCAGCTCTCTGCTGTGGCCCCAGAGGGCAGTGGAGGATGGCCCAAGTGCTTGGGTTCCTGCACCTGCATGGGAGACCGGGAGGAAGTACCCAGCTCCTGGCTTCAGATCAGCACAGTGTGCTGGCCATAGCGGCCATTAGGGGAGTGAACCAACAGAAGGAAGACCTTTCTCTCTGTCTCTCTCTCACTGTCTATAACTTTTTCTCTGTCTCTCTCTCTCACTGTCTAATTCTGCTTAGCCCGTATCAAATAAGCTAAAAAAAAAAAAAAAAAGCTTGTAGAATTCAGCAGTTTAACCATGCAGTCCTGGGATTTTGTTTGTTGGGAGAGTATTACTGATTCAATCTCCACCTTCACCTTTATGTCTTCATAACTCAGTTTTGGTAGATTGTATGTGTCCTACCTATCTATTTCTTCTAGATTTTCAACTTTGATGACCTATAGCTGTTTGTAATAGTTCCTAATGATTCTTTTGATTTCAGGAGTGGGATTGCTAGGTTATATGGTAGGTAGTATTTGTTTTTACATCTCCTTTTTCTTTTCTTTTTTTAATTGAAGTTAAGTTTATTTGGGTGCAATTTTTCTTTTTTGAAATCTGAGTATATGAGAGAGATCTTCGAAAAAGTTCACGGAATCTGTGTATTATGACAAAGTATGCATGGCTTTAAAAAGTTTTGAGGAATAAAAAATTTGTCTTTTAATTCATTTTCCATGATCTTTGTGAAGCAAAGATGTTTACTTCTTAATGCTTCCTAATATACTATCTCTTTTTTTCAACTTTTATTTAATAAATTTCCAAAGTACAACTTTTGAATTATAGTGGCTTTTCCCCCTATAACCTCCCTCCCACCCACAACCATCCCATCTCCCGCT